CGCTAGTGTTTCCGGTCGGTTTGTTGTTGTCGCTCGTGTTTCCGGTGGGGTTTGTTGTTGTCGCTCGTGTTTCCGGTAGTGTTTCCGGTGGGGTCTGTTGTTGTCGCTAGTGTTTCCGGTGCCGCAGCGGATCACGATGAGCAAACTGCCGCAGCTCAGCTCCTTCCTGTCGCAGCGGCTCGGCGCGCTGCTCCGGGATGTGCTGGACGTGGTGGAGGACGCGGTGACCGAGTACCGGGAGGAAGCGGCCAGGACCCGGCGAGAGAACGACAGTCTGCGGCGGCAGCTGCGGGACATCCTGCTGCTGGAGACCGACACCGAGTGGCTGAGTAAGGCCGACAGGCAAACACTTTCCAGCTGAGACGTCATGTAGCTTCTGACAAACACACGTGTTGTTTTGTATCTTAACACCGGATTTAACTTTAAAGTCTTTTTACTCAGAAAATCATAAAGGTACTCCATAATTATAATTCATGTGCTTCTTATAAACCAACTCATCGTTAAATTGACAGATTTTTGTATGGGGTCTGGTGTGACGTTTATTCTGAAAGGGAGCTGTGACAGTTCAGCTGGGTCCAGATTCTGAAGGATCTTCTGTTCGTGTCTCACTTCACAGCAACAAGAATATTTCCATTCTGTGTTTAATAAAACATTTAATAAATGTTTCCTTCACAGCTGCTCGAACTTCAACATGTCTCAGGAACAATTCGTTCAGATGCTGTGATTTTATCTGGATGGTCAAAGGTTGAGAAAGAGTTCAGACTTAATAATATGTTTTTAATTGTTGTCTTCACTCTCAGTTTGTTTCTCTGTGGTTCCAGGGTCCAGGTCCAGTCTTGGTTTGGAGGCTCCTGAGCAGCAGCTCACGGATCCAGATCCGAGGCCGCGCTCAGAGGAGCCAGACTCCACCCTGAACCAGCCCAGAGCGCCAGCTCCTCCCTCAGCCAAGCAGCCTCACGAGCACATCGTGTCTGTGCAGCTGCTGTCCGTCCAGGATGGGACGCCCCCCGGGAAGATTCTCCTCCCCAGGAACGAGGACCTCGCTGGAGCCTGGGAGCCAGAGCTGAAGCCCGATCCTCAGCAGGAGGTGAGCAGCAAGGCGTCACCTCGTCCTCGTCGCTCCACCTTCAATCCTCCCTCTGCCTCGGCCGCCAAACACCACGCTGAGATTCCAGCATACGGAGAAGAGCCACGAGTTCCTGCTGTGATCAAAACAGAACCTGAGGAGTTCAGAGTGAGTGAAGATGAAGGTCACACAGAGTCAGTGACAGCGGTGACACACACTCACATCGCACAGGACGAGGTCACAGACCGGGCGGCGGTGCGTGCAGGTCGACATGAAGCTCATCGGAACAAGAAGCCGTCTCAGGAGAGGTTAACGGCTCCAGCCGATGAGTGTGCGGTAGCTGGTTACACCACCGAGCTCATTCATCGCTGCCCCCGCTGTGGCGAGGCGTTTGGCCAGGCAAGCAGTCTCCGCCTCCACCTGGAGCAGAAACAAAAGACCTACGCCTGCGACTGGTGCTGCAAGTCCTTCGCACAGTCGGCGGACCTGCGGCGCCACCTGCGCACGCACACGGGCGAGAGGCCGCACTGCTGCACCTTTTGCTCCAAGAGCTTCAGCCAGCGAGGAAACCTGCGGCGACACCTGAGGATCCACACGGGCGAGCGGCCGTACAGCTGCCCGTACTGCTGCCGCACCTTCAGCGACGGAGACACCATGAAGAAACACAAGCGCACACATTCAGGAGAGAAACCGTACCGCTGCGTCCAGTGCTCCAAAACCTTCACCACCGCCAGCGGCCTGCAGATTCACTTAAAGAAGGACATGTGCTTCGTGGCCAACGCCTGATTGGTCAGGAGAGAGTGATGCAGCGGGGGGGTAGAAAGCACGCCGCTGAAAAACAAAACCCTCTGTGCACATGTGATGTTTCCTGTGGTCTGTAAATAGACACACAAACACATCAGTCTTCACTGGTTGGTTTTCTGCCTCCGTCCTGAACCAGAGTCTGTTGGAGACTCGTCTGATTCGTTGGAAGGACGGGGGTGCACAGATCAGGCAGCCAATGAGTGACCAGGAGTCTTTGTTTTGCGTCTGGAGGAGTTGTGCTTCTCGGCAGCTACGCAGTTTTACTGTCTGGTGTTGTTCATGCCTTTGTGTTAATTTATTTTGTATTTATTCTGTTCTGTGAAATAAACCCTGGAGAGGTCGATTCACTGACGACGCTGCTGTTTCTTCATTTGGATTAAAGAGAAAATTCAGTTTTCAGCTGCAGTCGGACAAATGTTTAAAATCACAATTGATTTCAGAATCACGATATTAGCACCACTCTGAAGAGACGTCACTGTGAACTGAGATCTTCTTGGAATATCATCGCTCCGCCCTCAGCTCTGAATTATAGATGTTTTCATTCATTTTGACTGAAGATGTTTCCCCCAAACAATTCTAAAGTTAAAAGAGGAAAACTTTAGAAACTTTAACTTATTCACCCACTGAATGTTTCCACACGCTTCACATGAACCAGGATACAGCAGAGTGACCACTAGAGGTCAGCGGTGTCCCTAATAAAATGACTCAATACAGACAGAATGAGATGTGTGTGTGTGTGTGTTATAATGTGTGTGTGTGTGTATGTTATAATGTGTGTGTGTGT